CCTTGGTCCTCGGCCACAAATGCTCTGCTGGGCTGGAGACTGCAGTGGCCAGAATCTGTCTCTCTCCGCCTCTGTCACCCGTCTGCTCCTCCCACCCCCACCTACGCTGCTCCAGAAGAATTCCAGTGCCACTCCCTGGGTCAACTCCCTGCCAATCCTATCCATCCCCTCTCACACAAGTTGGATGCTAGGAACAGGAGAGCTTGGAGAATCAGGCTTTTCTCATAACAAATATTCAGTATGTTGTCCAGCCGGCGTGGCTCAGTGGTTGAACGTTAACCTATGGACCAGGAGGCCACGGTTTGATTTCCTGTCAGGGCATCTGCATGGGTTGTGGGCTTGATCCCCAATGTGGGGTGCACAGGAGGCAGCCAATCGGTTATTCTCATCATTGATGTCTCTCTCCCTCTTCCTCTCTGAAATCAATAAAAATATATTTAAAAAACAAAAAACCCCGAATACTCAGTATGTTACATCCGATTGTTGAATTTGCCAGATATCAGGACCCCTGAGAGCACGGTTCATAAGCAGTGATGTGTCATGGAAAAGGCCAGGCCCCACATCCTCTCCTGTTATTTTACAGCTGAAATCCCCAGATGAGTCAACTGTGAGCTTTTGGGGCCGTGGTTTCTTCCACGAGGCGATCCAGAAAGCGTGACTGTCCCAGCAGAAGCCAAACCACATCCACCTGGTCCCACAGACCTAAGGGAACAGCTCAGCTATGCCAGGTGTAAACAGTGTTCCTGGGGCGCTCCCCGCAGGACAGGGCTGGGAAGCATCAGCGCTGCCACGGGGATGGGAGTCTGGGGAACAGCTCCATCCACTCTCATCGGAGTCACCTGGAGCCGGCACCGAGGCTACCTCTGCATCTTCGAAAAGCCTGGTCTGGAAGGAGAGGCACGGGGCAGCCATCTGTTTCTGAGCTTGCAATGTTTTACGTGGAACAATGTAGAAAACAATACGCACATCATAGCTCTGTCATCAGCCATAAAGTAAATAATGGATGGGCAGTGCCTGTCGGAAAACACAGGAACTGCTCCAGCATGAGCAGCAATTACCCCAATGTCCCTACAGTTCTCAGGGCTCATCTACACACACATCCCGGTGAAGTTGGCAAAATGGAGATGGTCCCCATTTTGCAAGGGAAGAAACAGCTGCCTGAAATTACAGCATTAAAAAATGCCAGAAACACCCCAAAACAGCCATGCAGGTGGTTGGACTTGCTCTCCTCGCCTTTGTTCTGTTCACGTGTCGTCTGTTAAGATCAGTTGCCTCCCTATCAGCTCAACCAAAGCGCAAAGACAGTCTCTCCGGCTATGGAAAATAAGAACCTTTTTCTAATCATTGAATATTTCAAACACACTGAGAAACATAGAATAACAAAGCCCCATATAGCCACCATTGAGCTCAAACAAACCCTACCATGTTCTCTATAAATTGTTTAGTTTTTTTCTAAATAAAAACTTGCACATATGGGCCCTTCTGACATCAGCTCTTCATATTCCCCTTCCCCGGGGGATCATTCCTCTGAGCAGGGTGCATTTCACTGGAAACACGTCTATTTTCCCGCCATTCTTATTTTAGGTGTATGTAGCCATAATCAAGATAGAGCATTGTTGTGTATGTTTCCAACTCGTATCACCAACTTGCTTTCTCCACCCTCATTATTTTTGTGAGGGTTATCCTCGCTGAGGCATGGAGCTGCCAGGCACCTGCGCCGCAGGTCTGGCACAGCGATTTTCAACCCTCTCCATCTCAGGACACACATAAGCTGATTACTAAATTCTGCAGCACACCAAAGGGTAGAATTTTTGTTGATCTGACAAAACAATGTCATTTTTGTTGTTAGTCCTTACTGAGGATATTTTTTCCCATTGATTTTTAGAGAGTGGGAGGCAGGGAAGGGAGAGAGACATGTCAATTGGTTGTTTACCATAGACGCCCCAACTGGGGCCAGGGATCAAACCCTCCACTCTTTTTAAAAAAATATATATTTTATTGATTTTTTTCACAGAGAGGAAGGAGGAAGAGGGATAGAGAGTTAGAAACATCGATGAGAGGGATACATTGACCAGCTGCCTCCTGCACACCCCCCATTAGGGATGTGCCCGCAACCAATGTATTAATACATGCTCTTGACTGGAATAAAACCTGGGACCTTTCGCAGACCTTCGCTCTATCCACTGAGCCAAACCGGTTTTGGCTAAACCCTCCACTCTTCAGTGATTGGGCCAACACTCTAACCATTTAGCAACACTAGCCAGGGAATTTTGTCATTTTTAAAAATTTGACAATCTAAAGGAGAAGAGATCAGTGTCCCTGACTATCAGATATTGTTTTAAAAATTCTTGCAGCACACTGTTTGAAAATCATTGGCATAGAGTGTTAGATTAGGGGTGTCGAACTCAATCAGAGAAGGGGCCAAAATCTAAAATCCAGCCTAAATTGCGGGCCAAATGGTTTACTGAACAGTCATAAACTGTCATTGTGATGGAAACGCAGCAGAGTGCAGTGATGACAGCGCGGTGCGGGCCACATTGCAAGGCCTGGCGGGACGGATTTGGCCCGCGGGCCTTGTGTTTGACACATGTGTGTTAGATCATGATTCTACCCCATTACTTAGGCTTTTCTCTGCCAATAAATATTTAAGATGTTTCTAAATTTCTGAATTCCAAACAACAATGTGATAAATGGGGTCATAATAGAAGAACTATTTTTCTAGAGACCAGAATTTTGTCCTCTGGGAAAAATAGAAGTAAAATAAGGTATAGGTTTTTTTTTTTGTTTTTTTTGTTTTTTTGTTTTTTTTTTAATGTTTAAATATCAAGACTTGACTAGGAATTACTTGAAATTTTTCTTACAAGCATGATGTTCACAGAAGGATTTAAATCATTTTATTTAAATGGACAATCACTTCACAATCACCCTTTGTCTATATCTGTTTTCCTTCAGTTGATTATCTGATCTGATTTTTTAAAATATGAAAACATTTTAATACATTATTTTCAAAATGATAGAAATCTCTCATCTATCTCCCATGAAAGCATTTTTTTTTTGAGCTAGCTCACTATACTATATAATAAATAGGTAATGTGCAAATTGACCCTCACGCCCTCACACAAGATGCTAACCTCATGTGGCCAAAGATGGCCACCACAAGATGGCCTGCAGGGGAGGGCAATTGAGGGTAATCAGGAGGACAGTTGGGGACAATCAGGCAGAGAAGCAGTTAGGTGTCGATCAGGCTGGCAGGCAGAAGTGGTTAGGGGCAACCAGGCAGGCAGGCAGTTGGGAGCCAGCAGTCCTGGATTGTGAGAGGGATGTCCAGTGGGATCAGGCCTAAACCAGCAGTCAGAGATCCCCCAAAGGGTTCCAGAATGGAGAGGGTGCAGTCTGGGCTAAGGGACCTCCCCCCACATTCATAAATTTTGTGCACCAGGCCTCTAGTCTATAATGATAAAAACGTACTATGCAAATTAGACCAACCACCTTCTGGATGAAGCCAGGGCTGTGAGGAAAGCCCAGGTCCCGGGTGCCAGAGAAAAGCCATTGCCGGCAGCCACGGGAAGGAAGATCTACTCTTGTACCAATTTCATGTATCAAACCTCTAGTTTCTAATAAAAATGCAACTTAGTAAATTTCAAAAGTCAGTTGTGTATGTTTTTAAGTGCAAAGTGATAGATCAATTGTTGGAAGAGATTTTCCAATATGTAGAAGAAAAATAATTTAAGGAGATGAAGTAGACTCCTGAAAAAGTGAGTCATAATTGCTAGGCACATGACATTAAATTCAACATTTTCTTCTTTTAAAGAAGAAATATGCTTGATGCTGACTGAAATTTCTCAGTGATCTCCACAGATCATTTTATCAGCATCACGTTCAGAAAACAACTGGGGTTGACCCACTTGTAGTGTTTAAACTGTGCCGCCCACCCCCCAAAAATAGGTCTGAGCCCCCATCTCTGTAAAGCTGACTTTACTTGGGGAAAGGGTCTTTGCAGATGTAATTAAGTTAAGGATCTCAAGTTGAAATCTTCTGGATTAACCGGGTTGGCCCTACATCCAATAACAAGTGCTTTTTTTTTTTTTTAATATATTTTATTGATTTTTTTACAGAGAGGAAGGTAGAGGGATAGAGGGCTAGAAACATCGATGACAAAGAAACATCAACCAGCTGCCTCTTGCACACCCCCTACCGGGGATGTGCCCGCAACCGATGTACATGCCCTTGACCAGAATCGAGGTCTGCAGGCCGACGCTCTATCCACTGAGCCAAACTGGTTTCAGCAACAAGTGCTCTTATAAGAAGAGGCGAAGACACAGAGGAGAGGCGTGTGAAGAGGGAGGCAGAGATGGGAGCGATGCTGCCACAAGCCAAGGCACATCTTGAACCACCAGCAGCTGGAAGAGCTGAAAGCTTCTCTGGAGTCTTCGTAAGGAGATGGGCCTGCCAACGCCTGGATTTCAGACTCGTGGCCTCCAGGGCTGAGAGAGAATGCATTCCTGTTGTTTTAAGTCACCCAGTTGGACATAATTTGCTCCATCTGCCCTTGGAAACCCCCTCTCCCCCCACGAGTAACCCATCTGTGAGGGCAGCTCCCACCATCCATCCATCCAGCCCATCCCACATGGAGAGCAACACTGGCCTCTTCCACTCTGACCTTCATCCATACCCTTGATTCTCCCAAACAATGGGTTGGCAGCCACCAAGCTTCCTTTGTGACAGACAGATGTGACTGGACCTTCCCAAACCGTCATTCCAATAGTTTGCTCATGTTGGAGGCATCCGTGGTGAAAGAAATGTGGCTTAGAACAATAGGCGAGTGGAACACAAAGGCAGACCCAGCTGCGTTTCCCCACCCTTCATGGTGACTAACCCTGAAATGCTTTCATTTCACTCAACACCACGATCTGGGGCAAATTCTAGACTAAATGAATGATTCTCTTGAATAAATGTTATAATAGATGAAACTAAGTGCAGTTTTTTGGTGAATTTTTTTGTTTTTGTTTGTTTGAAATGTCCTACTATCATCTTCAGCTATCAATCATTTCTGATAGCTCAAGCAGAAGGTCATCTTCATCTTTCCCAAGATCCAGGTCGATCTCAGCTTCTAATTTGCCTCCTGAAATCTCCCATATTAGCTTCTCAAAATCCTCCTCCACAGAGAGCGGGGGCTTTCCTGTCGAAGCAGTGCCGAGTCGGCGAGTTCTCGTGGCCATTTGGGATGAGGCAGGGCCAGAGGCTTCTGGTGGAGAAGGACCTGGTGAAGACTGTGCTGGAGGCAGCACAGGACTGCCTCTGGGCCTCTCTGTCTCAGGAACTGTGACTGCTTTGTCCTCAGAAGGGAGTGGAACAGCAGCCACGGCTGCCTTTTTGGCCGGGCTCTCCTGCAAGACCCCGCCGGTGCCGAGCAGCTTCACCGCTGCCATGACAACAGGATCCATCTCCACCGCCTTGCGCCTGGGGGTCCATTTGGGGGAAGAGACCACTTGAACCACAGATGGCTTCACATTCACTTTGGGCTTAGCTTTAACACTTTCTTCCAAGGTCCGTGTCCCACGTTTCACATTGAATATCGAGTGGCCAGTCCCTGCGGGTTCCACCTCGGCCTCCAGGGATGACTTGGTGGGAAGCCGCTTCAGTAGGCTCCGAGGGATGCTCGGCACAGCAGTGAGCACTGGCGTCTCTGCTGGCTGGGCATCACCAGCGCCTACCTCTCTCCAGAGGGATGTCAGCACAGGTTTTTCCTTCTGTGAGGTTCCCTTCTCTGGCTGCTTCTGTATGTGCTTTTCTCGCCTCGCCTCACATTTCTTGCCTGGAATTTTGATGCCAACTCCTGCTGTCTCATTAGAAGCCTCTTTAGCTTCTGTTCTAGCAACACTGCTCTGACATGCAACTTCACCTTCTTCTTGGAGTATCTTCTCTTCTTTTATACCTGACTTTTTGGCGATTCGTAAAAGCCGCCTGGCCCCCGGGGGGGCCTCGGGCTGAGGCTGGGAGCTCTGCTGTCCCCGCCGCGCCTTCTCCAGTTTAATTTCCTCCAGTGTCTTGATCCGCACCTCCTGCAAAGACTTTGTTCTCCCTGCAGGCTCCTCCGATTGTCCTTTGTTGGCAACCACTGATGGCAAAACTGATATTTTTTTCATCTCACTCTCCGTCTTTAACTTTTTGCTTCTCTGTCTCTCTGCTTCTTGCTGCCGATACCTCTTTCCAGCCGGGACCTCAGAGAAGGTTTTGATTCGAGCAGTGGAAGAGCTTCTTTCTCCTGAAGTAGAATCATCAGCAGGTGAAGGGCCTTCTGTCTTGGGTCCAGTTTGCAATTCTCCACGTTTCCGACTGGCTCTCTTGAGGAGGATTTCTTCTAATGTCTTCACATGGATCTCACCAACTTTAGTAACTCTCTCTGCTGCCTCCTCATTGTTGTGACCAGCGGACACACCTAATCGTTCCTTTAGAGACTTGGAAACTTGAACTTTCCTTGGTGTTTTGCCAGTTTCTGAAGCATCAACTTTCTTCCCTAGCCTCTGTGCAAGGCTGCGCTTTAACGGAGGATCACCGTCACCGTCTACGGGAAATTTTCGCTTCCCCAGTCTCTCAGCGAGACTCAGTCTTCTCAATGGTTCTTCTCCTTGTTTGTTGGAGAGACTGACTGTCCTCACCACAGTCCGGACATTCTCTTTTTCAGGACCTGCTATGGGCTGAGGCTGGAGTAAAAGACTGGGAATTCCTGAAGAACCTTCACCTTGCTTCTTGGATTTTTCCTTCATTTTCTTTGACTTAATTTCCTCAAGAGTTTTTATTCCAAAATCCAAACATTCACCTTGTTTGAAATTGACCCCAGGTTTCCGGGCAGAAGCCTCTCGTAGCCCATTAGGAACTTTGGGAGTTGGTTGCAGGGTTGGTGTTTCGGTTCCATCCCCTTCCTCAGAAGACTGATCATCATCGTCTTCATCAATATCTGCAGCATTGATCACAACTGGTGGATGTGTGGAGCTGGGAACATTTCCTGAACTTTCTACTTTCATCTCACTTCGCAGTAGAGGAGAGGGATTGGACCGGACAGACAATTTGTTTCGTTGAGCTGTGAGCCGGGAAGCCTTCGCTTCCTCCTCTGGTGACTCCGGCACAGCCGGCAGCACAGTCTTGCTTGGAGGCAGAAAAAGGCCTTCCACATATCGTCCTCTGCTGTGATGAAAAGCGCAGTTTAGTTTTTGACATCCCACTGGTTGATTTTCCCAATAACAAGGAATCTCACTCCGTTTCTTATCAATCTCCGTGTGCCGAAACCTGCACACCTGTCTAAAACAGCGTCCTTCTCGCCATAACGTGCACACAGTTTCATTTCCTAGGGCAGCTTCACAGTGACGGAATGGACAGCTGCCACCTCTGGTACATGTAGAATAGAAAAAGAAATAGCAGTCTTCTCCTGGATTAGACATGCTGGGTGGGTGAGGACCAGCTTCAAGTCCTTTTGAAATAGATTTAATCTTCCAAATGACAACTCAATCACAGAGATCGCCTTTAAAATGTAATGACTAGCTGGTTACTCGCAACAGGAACATCTGTCTTCACTGAGTTCCAATCTATTACGCCGGAGAACAGAAACTTGACTGAACCCAGGACACTATCCCCGACTGACGCTTGCTGCCACTTCTTTCTTCTTTCACAGCCGCTGCCCTCCGCCGTCCTCACAGCAGCAACACCAGCAGAAATCCAAGACTCTTAACTGGCACTTCTACGTTGACTCGTTTCCTGGTGACATGGATGGGCTTACATGAGGCCATTGCCTTTCAGAAAAACTCATTATATTAGAACCTCCCGGCAGACAGTCGACCAATAATCCCGAATGCTGTCCAACCAATCTCCCCATTTCTCTGCACGGGGACCCAGACCGAGGTCCACTTCGGGGTCTCCTGGGGTTCCGCCTGCAACGTGGCTGAAGGCAGGTCCAGGCACTGCCTTCCATTCAGGGCCTCAGAGGAATCACCCCAGGGTTAAAGCTATTGCCATGCAATGGGGACAGTCTCAGTTCAGTAAGACCCTTTCTGGGCTCCGTGGCCTCAGAGCCATAGCTCTCCCCTGCAGGCCCCAAGACAAGCATCTCAGAAGCACCCACATCTTTCATTCCAGTCTGACTACGAAGTGGGTACTCAGGGGCCTAAATGCTGATCCCCAACTTATTGGGCAGAAAAGTTTCAGATCAATCTAAAACACAACTAAATATTTAAGATGTCCAAAACAAACCCTCTATAGTTAACAGTTAAGATGTTTTCACTGGGGAATCGGATCAGGAGGTGTTGGGGGTCAGGGAATCAGCTTGTTTAGATATTTAAAAAATAAACTGTAGCCGAAACCAGTTTGGCTCAGTGGATAGAGCGTTGGCCTGCGGACTGAAAGGTCCCAGGTTCGATTCCGGTCAAGGGCATGTACCTTGGTTGCAGGCACATCCCCAGTAGGGGGTGTGCAAGAGGCAGCTGATAGATGATTCTCTCTCATCAATGTTTCTGACTCTCTATCCCTCTTCTTCCTCTCTGTAAAAAATCAATAAAATATATTATAAAAAATAAAATAAAATAAACTGTAACCAGATGCAAATGGTAGGAATTTAGGCATAGCTACCCTTAAAGGCAAAATAAACACCTTCAACTTGTTAGTCTGTAAGGAAAGAGAAAGAGCCCTAGCTGCTTTGCCTCAGTTTATACCGGTTCATCCAGTGGACTGAAAGATCCCGGGTTTTATTTTGGTCAAGGACACATGGCCACATTTTTGTCCCTATCTCTAGTAGAGGTCTTGAGTAGGCAGCTGATCAATTATTGTCTCTCCCTCACCCTTCTACTCTGAAATTAATTAAATACATTAAAAAAAAATAAAGGTTAGAACAAAGGAAGAACATGAAAAGCTCTCTGAGTCAGTTCAGGCTTGCTGCCACCATGAGGCTGACTCCTTACCTGCTGTGACCGGGTTGGCTGGGGCTCAGATCTCAGACCTGGTGGAGAGCCAGGGCACTGACTGCAGAGCTGAAGGACTCTGACTCTCCCCTCTGGTGCCTGAGGTTTTTATAGGTCTTCTCAATTGCTAACGTCCAATCAGAACCCCTGGTCTAAACCCCTCAACCAGATAGGATTTTTTACTTTCTCCATATTAATTGGTTAACCCAGAAATTGGATTAGGAGAGATTAAGCTCGAGAGGGGCAAGGGTATGGCTTGGGTCCTTGATTCCTTCCACAGACACTGACTGAGCTTGACGATGGTCCACAGTTGTCATCCTGGGTGTGAGACAGTGAAAGGTGAAATGGGTTCCTGACTTTATTTATTTATTTTTTTTTAATGTATTTTTTTTTTTTTTTGATTTTTTACAGAGAGGAAGGGAGAGAGATAGAGAGCTAGAAACGTCGATGAGAGAGAAACATCGACCAGTTGCCTCTTGCACTCCCCCTACCGGGGATGTGCCCGCAACCAATGTATATGTCCTTGACCGGAATCGAACGTGGGACCTTTCAGTCCGCAGACCGACGCTCTACCACTGAGCCAAACCGGCTTTGGCGGGTTCCTGACTTTAGACAGAAAAAAAACACAACCTGAGAACGTGGCTGCTGGGAGGTGGTTGGCCACCTCAAAGTAATCCAATTCTGTCAGGGGACATAGCAGATCATTAGCTCCTCAGGGAGCAAGGAGTGAGCGACTAAAGATGTGGGTGGCCCTTCAGACCACAAGGCTTCTCTGAGGGAAGGACCATGAGAGGCAGTGGTCAGGGCTGGGCAGGGTAACGCTGGGCCATCCTAATGAGACCCTGTGAATGACCCAGGGCCATGGAAAAGATTGGGATTTTTCTTGGAAAGAAGAGAGGTGGAAAGACTCTTCTCTGGGTGAATTCAGGATCTAAAAGGAGAAAAGCTGGAGGGGAGGCAGTGCCATCCTAGAGAGCAAAAGGAGAGAATTCCATCTCTGTCCCGCACAGGAGGAAAAGGGTGGGTCTGCTCTGGGGAAGATGGGATTAGCTCTGGGAACTGGGTGGAGACAATTGAATGTAAGAATGGGATTAGTGGGAAAGCGGCCCAATCTGGGAGTTACACATTTTCAAGCCTGAAGGGCACAAAAGACACAGTTGTGGGCTCTTTGAGATGTTTGAGACAGGGACAGAAATTATCGTGGGCCGGTAACAGGTAAGCCTGTCAACATGACTGCTGCCACCAGCCGACATTTATCAAAGGGAAGAGGTTCTTTCTCAGAGAATTCAGCCCAGATAGCAAGTGCCTTCCCCCACTACCCCTTGTCTCCATTGTCCCCAATCCTGCCCTCATGGCACCCTTTCACTTCACCACACCCCCAATGACCTCCCTGCTGACAAACAGCCCCTCAAGTCCCCCCTTCAGTAAGCCCATCCCCCACTATCTCTCTGTTCTATTCTTGTCTAACATCACTCTGGCCTGCTGGATGAAAGGCTCGGTGAGGCCAGGGAGTAATCATGGCTCCTTAGGCCATGTGTGTGGAATGAATGTGTGGCTCTTGGTGGTCTGAGGGAGGCCAGTAATGGCCAGCCAACTGCTGTCATGTGGAACTCTTATCCTGCACAGCCTCCATTAGGCCCCCATCTTTCTACTGTCAACCAGGCATAACACAGATATTCCTGAGCATCCAGTGTGTGGGCCAGGCTCTGACTCTGGAGAATTCTGAGTCAGGAGGGGAAGACAGTGGCACTGAACAGACAGTGTAGGGAACAGTGAGTGAGGGCCCCAGAGGGAGTGCTGATGCCTGGAGTCAGGGGGTATCCTGGTAAGGGACAGCAAAAGCCCCTGCTTCCTACATTAGTGATCATGGAATTTGTCGGCATTGCAGTATGAAATCAATGCCGAGCACATGCATGTGGACACATGAGCCAAGCACACTCTAGACCCAGACTATCCCTGAGAAAGCTGAGCTGACATTTCCTGAAAGGGAGAGGCAGTTTGCACAAGTCTGAGCCAGCATGTCCAGGGACCACCTGCTCGGGTTCAAATCTCAGCTGGGAGACTCATTCCCAGTGTGATCTCAGACCATTCACTCTCCAGGGCCTGTTTCCTCCTCTGTGAATGGCAGTGACATGGAGAACTCTGCCTTGGGTTCCTATCAGACATGGTGGTGGCATCGTCACCATCTTCATTTCTGGACCGTTCCTCCTCTTTTCTCGGGGGCCATTGCTATTTCTGCGGCTGGAACAGTCCTGTCATTTCCTCTCTGGGATTCATTGTTGCAGAAATCCACATAGGCTTAGAGTTTTTTGGAATATACAAATACATTCTCAACCAAAGATTAATGAAGAAATCTTTTTTATAAATGTGAATTGGGATCCTTTTTAATTTTTTGCCCAAACAATTTACCTTTGGCTTATTTTGATACCATGTGATTTTTTTTTTATGGTTGTCTTGGTATTAGCATTACAAAAGAAAAATCATTTCAATGTAAAAATTTCTGAATGCAATTTACCTACAGTATATTACTCTACTACCCCCTTTTTAAATTTAAACATCAGGACACTTTTGGAAATCTTAGAATGCAGTCTTGGTAAGTTTATTTTTAATATTTTGCATAGAAATGTAACTGCTTTGGACACATTTCATGTTACCAATCTCACTATAAGATGAACTATCAATAAAAATTTTAGTTAATACTTTAGGAACAGTTTTTGTCCAGTACAATTAAATTTTCTTGAATATTGATTTATTTCTATTAGACAATTTCAAATAATTTGGGAAAAGGCTTATATTTTTTAGCTTTATCTGTCCTAGCTTATGGACAATAAATGACATTAATTAAAATTTTATAATTAGTCTTTGACAAACTTAACGTAGACTTTGCCAGGGAGACAAAAACCCAAATCACTCACTTCAGTTTATGAGACAAACATATGGACTTCTAACGACAGTTCTTCAAATATTTGAAGAAAACTTTTTCTCTATTTCCTCCCCAAACAAATTTCAGGCTACAGTTTCATTTAAAAACCTTCGTCTTCCCTTACAACAATCGACCTATAGAGCTGTTGCTTAAACTAGCTATATTACAAGTCACTTTGCTGTAACGGTGACTATTATTTTACTGCCAGATTTAATATTTTAGCAATCTTCAGTTTACATTGCAAATACCCAGGGAAGAAATTTTAAATTTTTCACATTTCTTCTTTCTGTTACATTTAGAATTAAATTTTCAAAGAGTACACCCTTTGACTTATTTGCATATACAGAGGGATCATGGGAGGTCTCAGTCACTTTTTGAGAAGCCTTAATCAGGCATTGGCCTTTGCTGTTCCAAGATGGCGGCCCGTAGAGGAGCGGCTAGCCATGGGACCAATATGGTGGCTGCCAAGTCCGACAGTCCAATATGGTGTCCGTCTAAACTGTTGTTTGACAGAAAAGATGGTTTGTTTATTCTCACAATAAAGAAGGGAAGAGCAGCCGAAACTGGTTTGGC